TCTCAGATTCAATATCGTCTTAAAAGCGTTAGGAAACACTTCATTTATTTGAGTCTTGTTCCCTGAAGCCCATCTAGACATATGGTTGAGTGAATCTTGAAATTAGATGCTGCCTTGCTCTGGATTGCATGCAAGGACTAGTCGTCCTCCACATAGCTGTAGATTTTCCGTGGGGAATGTTATTCTCATTAATCAGGATAATAACAGGCCGTAAACAGTCCTTAGGGTCGAGTGTTCCAGAGCAACGGTTAATGAAATAGGGGAACCATATATTACCCAACCCTCTTGATATACCATGGAAACAAATTCTTTTCTTAATTAGGCTACTGTGATCGATGAGATCAAATGTAAGTCCTTGGTAACAGCAATGACCTCCTCCTCAAAGGTGACGTAATTGTTGAGGTTAACCAAATAGCGGAAGGCTGTTTGGTTCTGCGATGTCTCCAGGTCGTCTGATTTGAAAAGAATTCCTCAGGAATTATTTTTCTGGAGATTATGCTCAAGACAGGGTCCACGGCCGTCGAGGGCACTGGATAGTTTCAGGGATTGGAATTACGACCACCCACCAACAGTGACAGTCATTCAAAAGGTTGGGGGGAGGGGGGGCATATATCTTAGAGGATCAAGAAATTTGCTTTGAGTATGATGGCAACTCAGTGGCTTCGAAGGAGGAAGAAGCTTGGCAATGTTTATAAAATGACTGTTGATACTAGCACATTCTCAGGCAAGTCAGCTCTTTTGCTTATTGCCTTGGTCCATGCTTCTCTGAGGACAGAAGTATAGGATAGCTTGCTGAGATAGCAACAAGGAAACCCCCTTGCTGCGACCCTCCGGGCTTACAGAAAACTGATTATCGTACATGGTTGCCACACATACATATCTTCTCATGCACACACATACATATCAATAACTATGTATTGTTGTAACACATCTTTCTTCAGCACCGCCTTTCACAAGCTGAATACGTGATTTACTGCAACCCTTAAACCACTGTACAAGATGACAGGCTAACTCCCTGTGGAGAACCAAGAAGCAACAGCTCCCTCATAGGAGAATCCTCACTCCAAAATTATTACTCTTTTAATAAAGGAATTTATACATCTCGGTTGTCTGCCTTACACCCTAAGCCACAACTGATCATACTCTTGTGGGCCTACCTCTCGGGCTCCTTCGCAGTGTGTGTGTATGTGTGTGTGTGTGTGTATGTGCGCGCGTGTGTGTGTGTGATGACACTACAGAGTAAATTCTTTGGATTCTGAAATGCGTTGGATCATAATTAAAAACTTCTTTAGATGAGATCGATGATAGTAGCGTACTACCGAATAAGCTCGGGTGACAAATCATAATGTATGAATTGAATGAATAGCAAAGTATCCAACTTGGGTCAACAATGGCGTGAAGATTTTCCCTTACACAGGAAGTCATTCGAGTAGAGAATTTTAAGCATGATGTCTTCGGGTATCTTTATTAACCTCGTGGCAGTTTGCGTATGTCAAAAAGCTGTAGGGGCTATAATACTATTACGAATAGCTTATTTCATCGCCTTTCGACCTTTAATCCATTTGTTAGTCAATTGGTAGCTAAGAATCACCGTCACGTTACAGTATGGTATAGCCTTCTATGATGAAGTTTAATCACAAGAATTATAAGTTATCGTGTTTACGAATGACAGTGCAAATTTTCCTGTAGTTATGGTTAGCCGCTGTCAAAAGAAAACGAGGACCATGAAAGGGAGAACGAATGTAAGGGGAGACTGATAAGGAGGAGGAAAATGATGAAAAATATATAATAATATTGATAAAGATGATAATAATCATCATTATCAGAATAATAACAATAATAACCATTATTATTATCATCTTTCTTACCATTACTAGCATCATCAGAGTTATGATTAGTCATTACTATTTTAGCAATAATGATGATAATAAATAACAAACAAAATAATAATAACAATAATAGAAACAGTAATAATATGAAAATCATCTTAATGATGACTATGATTATAATGGGAATAATAATAGTAACAACAAAAACAGAACAATAATAGTAATAACATTTACGGCATAAAATAATAACGTTAACGATAATAATAATAATAGTAATAACAATAACAATGGTAATAATAAAAACAATACTGAGACTAATTATGATGAGGATGAGGATGATAATAATAAAAATAATAATAGCAATAATAATAATGATGACAATAACACTAACAGTATTACTGATATTAAAACATTAGCAATGATAATAATGATTATAATAATAATGACAATCAAATCAACAATTATAGCAATAACAATAATAATGTTAATGACGATAACAATCATACTGATAATGATAATACTAATAACAATAATGATATTTGTACTATCTAAATAATTATTATATTAACAATAGAGGGTCAGTTTATTTCTCATACATAAATATTTAAATACTTTATCGACACCATGCGAAAAAAAATCACTACAGTCAGTATATTAGCGGTAAATGATAT